AAATGGAAAAAAAAAAAAACAAATTTAAGAAGACTGAAATAATACCAAGTATGAAAAAAAAAAAAAACAAATTTAAGAAGACTGAAATAATACCAAGTATGATATTTTGGCAATTATATAATCAGAAATCAGAAGAAAAATTGGAAAATTCACAAATATGTAGAAATTAAACAACACACTCCTGAACAACCAATGGGTCAAAGAAGAAATCAAAAGAGAAATACAAAAATATGTTGAGACAAACAAAAATGGAAACACAACATATCAAAACTTATGGGATGCAACAAAAGCAAATTCAAGAGGGAATCTTATGGTAAACACCTACATCAAGAAAAAAAAATCTCAAATAACCAAACTTTACACCTCAAGGAAGTAGAAAATGAAGAACTAACCCAAAGTTAGCAGAAGGAAGAAAATAATAAAGATCGGAGCAAAAATAAATGAAATTGACACTAAAAAACAATAGAAAAGATCTATGAAGTTTTCTGTTGAAATGAAAACAAAATTCACAAACTTTTAGCTAAATTAAAAAAATGGAAGACTCAAATAAATAAAATTATAAAGAGGAGAAATCAGATTTAATACCACAGAAATGTAAAGAATCATTAGAGACTACTGTGAACAATTATACACCAACAAATTGAATAACCTAGAAGAAATGGGTAATTTCCTAGAAACATACCAAGACTGAATCATGAAAAAAATTGGAAAATCTGAACAAACCAATCACAAGTAAGAATACAGGATCAGTATATCAAAAGCTCTTGCTGGGCGCAGTGGCTCATACCTGTAATCCCAGCACTTTGGAAGGCCGAGGCAGGCAGATTACCTGAGGTCAGCAGTTCCAGACTAACCTGGCCAACATGGAGAAAACCCCATCTCTACTGAAAATACAAAAAGTAGCTGGGCGTGGTGGTGAGTGCCTGTAGTCCCAACTGCTCAGGAGGCTGAGGCAGGGGAATCACTTAATCCGGGAGGCAAAGGCTGCAATGAGCCGAGATTGTGCCACTGCACTCCAGCCTGGGTAACAGAGTGAGACTCCATCTCAAAACAAACAAACAAACTCAATGACATAAAGTCCAGGGCCTGCTGACTTCACTGGTAAATTCTACTAAATATTGAAGGAAGAATTAATACCAATCCTTCTCTAATACCTCCAAAGAAATGTAGAGAACACTTCCAAACTCATTTTACGAGGCCAGTATTACCAAGATACCAAAACCAGACAAGAACACACCAGGTATGAAAATCACAGGCCAGTAGCCCTGATAAACATGAATGCAAAAATCCTCAACAAAAAACTAGCAAGCCAAATTCCACAGCCCATTAAAAGGATGATATATCATGATCAAGCAGGATTTATCTCTGAGATGCAAGGATGATTCAATATATGTAAATCAATCAATGATATACCATATTAACAGACTGAAGGATAAAAACAATATGATCATCTCAATAGATATGGAAAGAACATGTAACAAAACTCAACATGCTTCAAGATCTGGAAGTATTTGCTTAAAAAAAATTCAACATGCTTTCATGATTAAAAAACACTTAACAAATTAGATATAAAAGGAATGTACCTCAACATAATAAAGGTTATACACAATGAACCCATAGCTAACATCATACTCAGTGATGAAAACCTGAAAGCTTTTCCTCTAACACTAGGAACAAGACAAGGATACCCATTCTCTCAACTACTATTCAATACATTGATAATACTGGAAGTCCTACCTAGAGAAATTATGCAAAATAGGAAAGGAAAGAAAAAGAAGGGGAAAGGAAAAAGGAAGGAGAGAGGGAGGAGAGGGAGGCAGGGAAAGAAAGAAAAGAAAGAAGAAAAAAAGAGAAAAAAGAAAAGAAAAGAAGGTAAGGCATCCAAATAGGAAAAGAAATCGTCTCTGTTTGTAGATGACATGATCTTGTATACAGAAAACCCTAAGGACTTTACCATAAAACTGTTAGAACTAATAAATTAATTAAGTAAACCTGCAGGATACAAAATCATTATTCGAAAATCAGTTTATTTTTATATGCTAACAACTATAAGAAAAAACAATCCCATTTACAATAGTGTCACACCAAAAAAAAAAAAAAAAAAAAAAAAAAAAAAAAAAAAAAAAAAAAAAAAAAAAAAAAAAAAAAAAAAACTTAGGAAAAAAACCGTAACTAAGAAGGTGAAAGATCTATACACTGAAAACTATACAACATTGGTGAAAGAAACCAAAGACACAAATAAATAGAAAGATATCCTGTGTTTATGGATTGGAAGAATACATACAGCTAAAATATCCATTCTACCCAAAGCGAATTACAGATTCAATGCAATCCTTAAATAGAGGGAAAAAGACCCTACAACTCATATGAAAGCACAAGATTCTGAACAGCCAAAGCTACCTATGGAGTAAGAAAAACAAAGCTGGACACATCATACTATCTGATTTTAAAATATATTACAAAGCTACAGTAATTATAACAGTATAGTACTGGCATAAAAACAGACATATATACTAATAAAACAGCCCAGGAATAAATTCCCACATTATGTCCAATTAATTAATCTTTGGCAAAGGTGCCAGAAACAAACAATAAGTAAAGGATAGTCTCTTTAATAAATGGTAATGGGAAAACTGGATATCCAAAGACAGAATAATGAAATTGGAGACCCTTATCTCATACCATATTAAAAAAATCAACTCGAAATGTATTAAACACTTAAACTTAAGAACTAAACAATAAAAATACTAGGAGAAAAACATGAAAAAGAATTCTTGTCACTAGTCTGGGCAATGAATTTTTTAAAGATGTAACTCCAAAAGCACTGGCAGCAAAAGCAAAAATAAACAAATGAGATTGCATCAGACTAAAAAGCTTCCGCACAGCAAAAGAAACAATTAACAGAGAGAAGAGACTATCTATGAAATGAAAGAAAAGTATCTGCAAACCATACATCTGACGAGGGGCTAATATCGAAAATATACAAGGAACCCAAGCAATGTAATGGCAAGAAAACAACCTAATTAAAAAATGCGCAAAGGACCTGAATAAACATTTTTCTAAAGACATCTAAACAGCCAAGAAACATAAGAAAATATGCTCAATACCACTAATCATCAGGGAAATACAAACGAAAGCCACAATGAAATATCACCTCATACCTGTCGGCATGGCTATTATCAAAAAGATAAATGATAGCAAGTGTTGTTGAGGATGTGGAAAAAAGAGAACTCTTGTAAACTATTGGTAGGAATGTAAATTGGCACAGACATTATGGAAAACAGTATGGAAGTTCCTCAAAAAATTTAAAAAAGAACAATCATATGATCCAGCAATCCCACTTCTGGAGATATAGCCAAAAGAAAGAGTCAGTATCTTGATGACGTATCTGCATTCCTACGTTCATTGCAACACTATTCACAAAATCCAAGATAAGGAATCAACAAAGGGACCAACAATGAACATATACATAAAGAAAATGTGAGTTATACGCACGCACCCACACATACAGGAATATTATACCGCCTTCAAAAGAAAGGAAATCGCATCTTTGTGACACATGGATGAACCTGGAAGACATTACGCTAAATGAAATAAGCCAGGCACAGAAAGGCAAATACAGCATGATCTCATTTATATGCGACATCTTAAAGAAAAAGTCAAACTCAGGATCAGAGATTAGAAAGTAGAATGGAGGTTGCCAGGCGGCTGGTGGGTGGGGGAAATGAGAAAATGTTAGCCAAAAGGTACAAGGTTTCAGTTATGCAGAATGAATAAGCTCTGAAGATCTAACATACAGCACTGTGACTACAGACAATACTGAGCTGAGTGCAGTGGCTCACGCCTGTAATCCCAGCAATTTGAGAGGCCGAGGTGGGTGGGTGGCTTGAGTTCACAAGTTCAAGACCAGCCTGGGCAACATGGCAAAACCCATCTCTACAAAAAATATAAAAACTAGGTGTGACGGTGCATGCCTGTGGTCCCAGCTACTTGGAAGACTGTGGTGGGAGGGTGGCTTGAGCCAGGGAAGTAGAGGTTGCAGTGAGCCAAGACTGTGCCACCGCACTCCGGCCTAGGCAACAGAGCCAGATCTTGTTTCAAAAAAAGAAAAGAAAAAATGTGTGTGTTGTGTACACAAAATTTGTTAAGAGAGTAGATCTTAAACGTTCTTACAACTTTACTATGTGAGGTAACAGGTATGTTAATTAGCCTGATTTTGGTAATCATTTCATAATGTATACACAGGCCGGACACAGTGGCTCAAGCCTGTAATCCCAGCACTTTGGGAGGCCGAGGCGGATGGATCACGAGGTCAAGAGATCGAGACCATCCTGGTCAACAAGGCGAAACCTCGTCTCTACTAAAAATACAAAAATTAGCTGGGCATGATGGTGCATGCCTGTAGTCCCAGCTACTTGGGAGGCTGAGGCCAGAGAATTGCCTGAACCCAGGAGGCGGAGGTTGCGGTGAGCCGAGATCGTGCCATTGCACTCCAGCCTGGGCAACAACAGCAAAACTCCATCTCAAAAAAAACAAAAAACAAAAACAAACAAACAAACAAAAAAAAATATCATGTATACACATATCAGAACATGCTGTGCAATTTGAACATATATGATTTTTATTTGCCAAACATACCTCAGTAAAGTTGAGGGGGGAAAGTCAAAAGAAAAGCAAAACTACAACCCAAAGTCAGGTAGAGAACATAGTCCTTGCTGCCTTGGTGACGGTAGGATTTACTGCAGGTTTTACTGACTCCTTCTGATCTATATACTCCTTTAAACACCAGCTGCTAAAAGCATTTCCTTCCCCACATTTTGCATTTCCCTTAATTACCCTTCCCCTACTCCTAAATACAAGACTCAAAGCAACAGGACCAATCTGTCAAGACCTTAAGGACCACTCATGAACAGCACTATGATCTTCCACGTGCAGAGAGTTATAGAAATTACCCCTACCTACAAAGACAAGTCTCCTTGAAACATCTCCAAGCAGATTTTATTCATTTGCCAAGGAAAAAATTTTCCTGTATAGTAAAAAGACAATTATCCTATCTAGACTACACAGAACCACGAAAAAGGCACAAATCCTTTTCTTCCATATTCAAGTACCTTTTGCCTACTTGAAACTTCATCCAAATCAGAAAATTTGTTTGTATCAAGTGGATAAATCTAAGCATTTATGCAATAGAAAGATTTCACCACAGGAAAAAGTCTTTCAGCAATAATAGTGTTTCACTGGTTACAATATAGGTACTATGCCTTAAATGCCTCTCTGAAAATTAAATGTCTATGTTTATACTGTCTGAAATTCCAGCAATCATCATTTTAACAAAAAGGCCCTCTTTGATATTTTAGTTTCTTTTTTTATAACAATAACTTAGTTTTCATGCAGAGTTAGTATCAATACTATTTTTGAAGAAAATAACTTTCATATAAATTTGAAATCTTTACTTCTTTGTGCATTTTCAACCATGTGCCACTTGGCAATATCATTTTCATAAATAAACTGCACAAGCCAACGGTGCCAGAAGCCCAAGCATGTAAATGCTGAAGTGAACCAGTTCCCCCACACATTTCATTTTCTTTGTCCCTTTTATTTATATGCACTGTATATAAATAAAGCTGAGTCTCCTTCATGCTCACCAAATGACAGCATGTATTTTACTTAAATAGGAAAATATGATATAAATTAAAATGTAGCAGACAAAGAAACCTCTCTTTTACATTATTCATAAAAAGATTTTGTTGGCTATTGGCATGAGTAATATAAACCATCGTCGCTTGGTTCAACATTCTGTCTACTCCTATCTCAACTATAATAGAGAGACATATGCATAAACAGGAATATTTTTTAAACCAATAAATTCTTGGCATCTTTGCACAAATGCTCAAGAGAGTGACAAAACAGGTCACTTAACATAAAATCCATTAAGTCCTCGACTGGGCACAGTGGCTCATTCCTGTAATCCCAACACTTTGGGTGGCCAAGGCAGGAGGATCACCTGAGCCCAGGAGTTCGAGACCAGCCTGGGCAACAATGACAAGCTCCCATCTCTATTTTAATTTTTAAAATAAGAAATAAAAAAATAAGGCCGGGCATGGTGGCTCAAGCCTGTAATCCGAGCACTTTGGGAGGCCGAGGCGGGTGGATCACAAGGTCAAGAGATCAAGACCATCCTGGTCAA